GTTGAACGTATCGCACGAGACCGCCATGAGGACGTTCTCCTTGGGATCGAGCACACCGCACGGCGGATCCACGCCCAGGCGTCTCATGTTGGTGGTCTTGATGGCCCAACCGATACGACGACCGCCAGCGTTGGTGATCTGAAACGGCGGCGTTACAGAGGAGAATGAGATAAGTTACGCGAGTTGGCCATGACAGTAGAAATTCCTGAACCAAGGTACCTTGATGTGATAGGTATGCTTGTCGTCATATGGCGAATTGAATACAATTTTCGAGCTCGGCTGAGTATGGATGTCACCGGGTGGAACGGACTGCGCCATATCTGCTCACTGAGATGACGACTGTATGCAAACTGGATTGGAACCCAAAGTAATATGAAGTTGACCCGTTCTGTCATTTATAAAGGGTCATAAACATTTGCATATCCAGGAGGAATGTGCATAAATTGGAACTTGCATTGCAACTTAGCAAAATTATATCGAATATATGTTTCAGAATTTGTTTTGAATATATGTTTCAGAATAATTTTTTTCTGATATTCAGAAACATATTCGGCACGTGCTTAACATTCCAAACATTTTCTTTAATTTCGAACGTATTCCCGAATAATTTCCTTCTGAGCATTCCTTTTTTGTAATATTCAAAAATATGTTCCAGTTTTGTCAAGCATCATATACCATGAATACCAGCTGTACTTATTTCTGAATAATTTCCGAACGTACTCTTGGTATATTAATTTCTGAATACTTTTCGAGTGTTTTCTTTTTAAGCAATTTTTTCTTGCAAAATCCAAAAGTATTTGCCGAACGAGCTTCGCATTTTAAGGCTTTTTTCTGCATTTTTGCTTTTATTCAGTACATGATGAATATTTTAGAGAGACTGTTTTGATGTATGTGCGTGTAAGTGTATGTCTGCATATTTCGTTTCCAAATCTGCGGAAGCTGTGAGGCTTATAATTTGACAGTTAAATATATTCCTCAGAAAATGAATAGTCCACGTGTTTTTAGCCCTCGTATACAACCGTGAAAAGAGGAAAACGACTTTGAGCTTCAGGTAATCTAGAAAGTTGAAATCTTAAGAGGTGTTCTCTGCTTAGTTGAGACCCAGCATGTTTAAATTCAGTCACACATGTGTCAACTTCCCATACACAGACACATCAAAGTTC